AGCCTGGGGAGCCCCTACCTCCGCCCAGCGTTGTTGCTCAGGCCTTGCACGGGCCTGGGACTGGGTCGACAAGGGCAGTAAGCTTGGACCACACCTGTTCCCCGGGACTCCGGAGTCGTTCCGCCCCCCTTCCTCCATCTTGCGGCTCCCCAATCCCCAAACTGAAGAAGTGGCCGGCACTCTGGAGCCTGAGCACCGGGCTACTAACAACAACAACAACAGCAGCAGCAACAACAAAAAACAGTAACAGTAACGCCGTCATCGTCGGCCTCACCAGCTGGAGCCAAGCAGCAGTGGACCACGCTTGATTAAATCTCATAATTAGGAGCCACTTTTTAAATGAATATTATTACATTTCAGCCGATTTCAGGAATGGCCTTTTATTTTCTGTGGGCGGGCAGCAGAAATACAATGAAGTGTTTGAAATTAATAACAACACGAATGGTGTATCCAGGGCTCACGCGGCCCGGCGGTGGGGCGCATCCGCCAGGGTCACGCACAGGCGCGCGGGAGCTCCGGGCCCCCGCACCCACGCGCGCGCCTGTCTCCGCGGGCGCCGGGCCTCCCCGGCCTGCCAGCCCGCGGGGTCCGCAGGACGCAACGCTCGGGCCCGCCTGTGGCCCGCCCGCTCCACGCCACCCCACCCGCCTCTACTGCGAGGTCTGCAGAAGGCCTCGCCCTCGGCCCCGCGGGCTGGAGAAGCGCGGAAAGGGGGCCCCGCCGCGAGGCCTGGCGCGGGGGCTGCCGAGCGAGTGTGGGGCGGGTGTCGGGGTGCGGCTGTGGAGTGGAGAGCAGTCGGCGTTGCGCCGTGGCCCTTGGGCGCCAGTCCGTATGCACCTCCCAGCCGCCGCAGCTCCTCCTGGCCGGCGGCGGGTTTCGGCGGAGCCGGGACGTCCCGGGGACGCTTGGGGAGCTGTCTGGGCAGGCAGAGACCGCGGAGGTCGGATATTAAATCAGCGGGAGACAGAATGACTTGTCGCCGAGCGAGAGCCAGCAAACGCGGCCTCCCCTCCCCGCCAGCCAGCGCTGGGCGGCCAGTGAGCGTATTTGCATATACAGTGCGGGGTGTTTGTTGTGAGCTGAGCGCTGTGCGCGGCCGGGCACACCTGTGCCAGGAGGTCTAGAAGCCCCCATCGATTTAACCTTTTCACGCAAGGGAAAAAAAAAAAGTTGGAGTTCTCTTGGAGTTTACACTGATTCACCCGCGTGGCTCCTTCCTTGTTTCCCCTAAAGAAAGCACATGGCGGGTCCACACTGGGTGACCCTCAGGCCTGTGTTGACCCTCGGATTCTGACTCCGGCCTGAAGGCTGGACCCTCCTCCTCTGATCACTTTGGGCATCGGAAGAGGAAAGCCCTCTGAACCCCAAGGGGCCCTGCTAGGCCTCTCTGTCCGGTGTCTGGCAGCCCCGCAAGAGCCGCTGCTCAAGCAGGCCCGGGCGGCAACCGGCATCAATACTCCCCCACCCGGGCTCCCAGGTCCGGCCTAGATTTTGCTGGGCTATGGAGGACTGGGGACACAGACAGGCCTGGGCAGTGGCAGCCCTCTGGCCGGAAGGAGCAAGGTCCTCCTTTATAAACAGGCTTTCCTCTGAAGAACATTTATGAAACTGGCCTTCTGAAGGGGAAGCAGTCTGGCCGGGTCTGGCCCGAGGCTCCACCAGCTCTCGGTGCTGCAGTCCTGGTTCAGATCCGAGGCACGTTACGTTAAGCCGTGAGTCCAGGCTCTGGATCAGAACGGAGACTTGCCTCCGCTGCAGGCCTGGCTCTGGTCTCCACTTGCCACTAAGAGAGAGGGGGCTGGCTGGTGCAACAGTGGCTCTTCATGAGTCTCAAACTTAGATTGTATACTGAATTTAAAAATGTAATAAACATAGAAGCAAAACCAGAATCTTAGCATTTTGAGGGTCTGGGGGTTCATTCAGTCCAATCACCTATTAGAGACAAAAAAAGAAAAACTCCTTATGCCACTGCAGGCTTAATGTTTGCTTGCACACTTCCAAGGACGGGGAACTCATTACCTTACAAAACTGTACACAGCCCAACAATGTTATGATTTGTGAATAGATGAAAAAATAAGAATGATTGCTTAATGTTGCCATACTGTCTTTTTATTAAAAAGAGAGAGTGGCCAATCAGGTAATAGAAGTTGTCCCTGTCCTTTTTGTTTAGTGTTTACTCTAAAGAATCCTCAGAATTGTGCAGGGGGAAGGGGGAGACACTGGGATTGCCTGAATGATCACACCCCATTGGCGATGACCCAGGGGCACTCCTGAGACCAGGCAGCTAGGGCTCCAGAGCCTCCGTGGTGAGACCCCAGCTCTCTCTCCATCAGTGCATCTTTGCAAATCCTGGGAGTAGCCCCTCTCCTGCCCCAAGACCCAGCTTCCACTTGGGAAGCCAATGTAGTACCGAAAACACCAGTCTCCTCTGGCAGCAGATGATCCTCATTAGTCTCTGAGTTTCTTTTACTGGGAGAAGAATCTTTTCCAAGCCAGGGAAGGTTGGACATGGATTAGTTGGGCGCACCGGGTGCGCTCAGCTATCCTGCCTGGACACACTGGCCATCACCACCCTCCCCAAAACACTACCCGGATGGATGCTTCTGGTCGGCTGGTCAGCTAGGGCAAAGTCTGTCATTTCCTCACTTCTGTCTCTGGATGTGTCCATGTCCTTTGCTTTTGGAAGGTAAAAACAAAACATAAAAGAGAGCCCTTCCCAAGGGACCAGCATCTCTCGCTCTCCCATAGGAACAGTAGGGAGGCCAGAGACCTGTTGCATTCTGCAGGATTTTCAACAATTATGCAATGAAATAGAACCATACTTTTGAACACTTCCTTCTGGTAAAGAAATGTACTTAAATTATTTTGGTTATTCTATGCTCACACAGGAGATATTCAAAGTGTCTTAATTTGTTTTTTGTTTTTTTTTAATTTGTACCTCTGGCTGCAAAGGTAAACAGTTGCACCCCTGCTCTGATTGAGGCAAAGCCCAGGAGCACCTGAACCACAGGGAGGATGCCCAGAGCAGTTGGGCTGGACTTAGAAACACGCTTAGAAAAACTAGTCATGCCACCTTGGACATTCAATATTTTACAATAAAGCGGGTTTTTTTTTTATTTAATGTAACTTTCAAGATTTTTTTTTTACAAAAAATGCAAGGGGAATGTTCACAATGCTGATAACCACAGTTGTAAATAGAAACATTCATTTCTCATAAGATTATAAATATTTGATACTGGAACTGTAAAATGCACATGTTTTATAAACTAAAAAAAATAAAATAAAAAAATAAAAACCAAAAAACTTTGCTTCCTGCTAAAAAGGCATATCATTTCATTGAGTTTCCTAAGCAGCAGATGGTTCTTCACAGAATTTTAAATTACAGCTTTTCTTTTTATAGTTTTTTTTTTAAAAAGGTTTGCACTAGTATGTACAAAGTGAAACTATTATCGCAGTGAAATAAAGAGGTTTAAGGCAAAGAGAAACGTTCACCCTCAGTCCTCAGGGGTTCAGCCATGGGTCTGGCTCAGCCACCGGCACACCCTCTGGGCTGTCCCGGCTGCAGATGGACATTTGGACACGATTCTTTTTCCATACACTAACCAGAAGACAGTGCAGAGTTATATATATAGATAATGTGTTTATATATGTACTTGGTGGGGTTATATTGAATATATTTAATTTACACTGTACCACACCTTCAAAAAATAAAATGTATATTAAAAAAAAAAAAACAAGAAAAGACAAAAAGTGATAAGAAATGATTATTTACACATTTTCTTCCTTCTTCTCAATCCTGGAGGATTCTGAGTTCCTCCAGAAGTCAAGGTAGCCACATGCTGGGGAGCTGTGGACTCACACACGTCTGCGCGCGTCTCTACACGCGGTCCACAGATATGCGCGCGCGCACACACACACACACGTACCTTGAAAGAATGCTCTCCAAAGCAGAAGCAGCCACTTAAAAAAAAGAGAAAAAGGAAGGGAAGAAAAACAAGAAAGGAAGAAAACACAGGCTCCCGCTGGAGAGCCCTCTGCGCGCCCAGAAGCGGGAGACCTCCGCTGTTTCTGGGGCCCACCGAGCGCCGCTGGGGAGCTGATGGGGCGGCAGGAGACTCCCGGGGCCTGGGGAACAGGACGAGGGGCAGCTCCACCATCCCTGGGCCTCTGGCCACATGCTGGGCCCATGGGCCTGGGATCCCTGAAATGGTGCCCGGAGGCGAGAGAGCGGGCTCTGGCAGCGGGCGGCTGGATGGGGGACAGCAATAGACGCGGACTGAAGCACTGAAGCACACGGAGGTGCCTGCCGGGCCTCGGCAAAGAGGGGGAGGGGGAGGAGGAACCCGAGCGAAGGCAGGAGGAGGGGAGCCGCGCCAGGCTGGGGGCCTGGGCGGCCCAGCACTGCGGGCCCACCGCCCGGGGCGCGCTCCTGACTGCCACCAAGGCGCGGCACTCCTCCCAGGACCCCAACGGTCCCCCGGGGCCCTGCCAGGGCCCCTGCGCTGCTGCCGTCCCCCTCCTCCGCCCCCCCCTCCCGGGGCCGGGGCTGGGGGTGCAGACCCTCCTGCTGTCCTCACCAAGCCCACACAAACAAAGTGGCAGAACTCAGAGACCAAATAGGAGCTATTTATTCGGTTCACAGTCGTGTGAAATGCAGCAATAAAAATCTTTGGACTTCAGCAAGTTGTTTTAATTTTTTTCTTCTTTTGAAATTAAAAAATAAAAGTGTCCCATGTCCCACAATGGAGCCTAGGGGATTAGAAAAGATGAAACCCTAAGCAGCCCCCTTCGCAAAAAAAGAAAAAAAATCATAAAATTAGCATAATCTCATAAACACAGAAAAACTCAAAAAATATTTTATAGTCAGATATTTTGGATTTTACACCACCTGTAAATTATATATACATAGAATATTGCAGAACCATAGCTAATACACGATATTTTCACTATTAATGCTGGTATAATCTTTATACACTGGCCCTTTATGATTTTAAATTATTGCATTGTTTAGCGCGGACCGAGACCAGACTCCGGCGCCCGCCCGCCCTACTCGCTGTCCGACTTGCCCTCCTTGGCGGTCGTGGAGTGGTTGTACAGACCCTGCGCCATGAGGTGCACGGCCAGCGTGTTCTTGTTGCCCGTGGCCTTCTTGATCTTGGCGCGCTTGTTCTGGAACCAAATCTTGATCTGTGACTCGTTGAGGCTGAGCTCCTGTGCCAGGCTCTGGCGCCGCTGCTCGGTCAGGTACCTGTTGGTCTGGAACTCGGCCTTGAGCCTCTGCAGCTGCTCGGCCGTGAAGGCCGTGCGGGGCCGCTTGTCTTCTTTGTTGGGGTTCTTCTTCTTTGGTTTGCGAGACCTGGGACCTGGGCAGGCACAGGGGACAGAGCACAGGGTTAGGAGGGCTCCAGGCCTGTCTGCCGACTCAGGCCGCAGAGACCTGGGAGGAAAGTGCGCAGTCCGGCTGCACACTGGGGACTGAGCTTTCTCCCACCCGGCCACCAGGACCCACCCCTGGAAAGCCAGAAGCCAGGCCGAGGACATCGGGGTGTGAGGGGGTGAGTGGGGGTAGAGAGCAGGCTTAGTGGAAAGGTCTCCAGGGGCACCTGGCTGGCTCAGTTGGAGGAGCATGCGACACGCTTGATCTCGGGGGTCATTCCAGAGTTCGAGCCCCACATGTGGCACAGAGTTTACTTAAGATTAAAAAGAAGAAGAAAGAAGGGCCTCCAGATAAAAGGAAAACTCCTGCAGGAAAGCAAAAACCCCAAACTTCCTAGCATGGCGTTTTCTGTCCCTTTCTGTCCAGGCATAAGGGCAGGGGGGCACAGGAGAGGCAAGAGGAAAGGTCGGGGGGAGGGGCGGGGCAGCCAGAGTAGCAACAGTGGGAGCCCAGGGAACAGTGACAGGATGCCCACAGGATGCCCACAGGGGATAGCCTCAGGTGCCAGGGGCGGTGGGAGTCAGGGGGCAGGTGCATCCACAGAACAGGACAAGCCCGTGGATCTGCGTCCACCCTAGGCCCCTTTCTGCCTCCCCTAACTGGCCTAGTGGGCCCAAGTTCATTGTTTCTCTCCTGGAGGGGAGGGAGCGCACGGATCCTTTGCTGAGTGGGGAAGGAGCACTGAGCCACTCCCCGTCACCTCCCCTTCAGTCTCCCAGTGCAGGAGAGGGAACCTGGTTGCCCCAGCCTGGGGCTGCCTCCCTGGAGGCCGGAGAGGGGCCCAGCTGACCTTGTGCAGAGGGTTCACACTTCTGACCCCTGCCTGGGCTCCTCCCACTGGGACAACCCCTGCACCACTTGAGGTTGGTTTGGGGCAGTGGTGGCAAGCCTCCTAGGACCCCGCCATCTGAAAAGGCCTGAGCGAGGAGAGCAGAAAGGAGGGCCAAGCGCTTTCTTTTTGTTGGTGTCAAGAAGTGCAGCCCCACAAGGGTGTCTTTGAGGGAAGAGATGGCAAAGGCCATTAGGGGAGGAAAGCTGGGCTGTACGTGTGGGTTTCTTACTCTGTGAAGTGAACCAACTTTGGGGAGCTCCGGCCCCAACTCCTTCCCAGACGCCCGCGGCGGGAGGCTGGAGCCCCGCCGGCTCCCTCAAGCAGCCAGAGCCCCCCAGGTCTCCGCCGGGTGCCCACGAGCCCACCCTGCAGGGCCAGGGGACAGCCCCGCGGCCCTGCGCAGCAGCGGCGGAGGGATCTCGCCGTACGCGGCCGGTGCACCCGACCGGAGCCCGAAATGTGGAGAGGGTTGAGCGCTCCGAGGGCGCGCGAGCCAGGGGTCCAGGCTGTTCCCGAGACCCAGCGGGCGCCAAGAACACCCGGCCCGCCTACCCAGCCGTGCGCTCTCGGGAGGCAAACTCCGGTAGAGGGGCTGTGGGCGCCGGCGAGGGGGTGCCAAGGGCCGTTCGGCTCAAACTCCCGGCCTTTTAGATTCTAGAGCACAGCCACACTCACACCCGCGCCCCCGCGCACGCACCTACCCCCGCGCGCGCACCTACCCCCGCGCACACACCTACCCCCGCGCGCGCGCACCCACCGCCACCGCCACGCACACGCCAAGGGCGCCGGTTCCGCGCCGGCCGGCGGGCTTTGATCGAGAGGCCGCCGGGGCGCGCGCGGAGGGTTACGGGTGGCTCCGCTAGGCCTCGCGAGGCCCCGCACCTGCTCCGACCCGACCGCGGCCTCGTGCTCCGGGAGCCGGTTCTGCGTCTCCACTGTCCCGGGGAAGCACGCTTCCTACCCTCCAAATTCCCCTGGCCCTGGGGCTCTTGCACACACGAACCAGCCCGTAAAAAGATACACACCATTTTGCGGAAAGAAAATCTCCCTAAAAACAGAATTTTTAGTTCTCTTTCTTTGATTTTCTTTCAAAACGTAAACACTTGAGAGTCGCAGAAACAGAAGCAAACCCCGGCAAAGAAAACTCTCTGCCTTAATTCTTTCTAAAAGGCCAAGAAACACAAATGTTACGTTATGGTTTTCTGGGTTTTTGTTTTGTTTTTAAGTCCAGGAAGACCAGCGACTGGGGCCCGGCCGGGTTGCGGGGCTCCCTCGGGCCACCGGGGCCTGGCGCGGCCGCGACTCCGCCGCTGCACAAAGCCGGGCCGAGGCTCCTCGCTGGCCGCATTGTGAGCCTATATGTTAATTAAATATTAACAAAGGAGGGAGGCGAGAACAATGGAGCAAATTTCAGATCTAGCTGGAGAAATGTGGATTTCATCAGAAATATATACACACATTTCTGCGGGAAGGCGGCCAAGGGAAGACTCAGTTATGCTGTGATTTGGGTAAACAACCCCCGCAAAACAGTTGAGGGTTGGGGGGGCAGCGGGGTCCGGTCTGGGCTGCCGGCTCAGGGACAAATGGAGTCCCCTCCTAATGGCGGTTCGCAGCCGGAGACCCCCATTTCATGCAGCTGATGATTTCTACAAGGACGTGCATTTAGCTTTTAAAAATCCAGATCTATGAAAAATACACCCAGAAGCCCTGCACACACCCGCGGGCCCCTCCACCCACCCTCCCGCGCAGAAATCTGCTTCTTTTCTCCCTGAGCGCTGCCCCAGGAAACCTCTGGGAGAAGGTCCTTTCTTTGGGGGACCGCAGGCCTCCCTCCTCGGAGCAGTGTGCAAGATGGGTGCTGAGCTTCCCCACCGTGTGATCAGACAACTAAAACCGGGCGAAGGGCCCCTCTGTTTCCATCCCTTCCCTATCTCTACCCCCGCCCCCCCCCCACTCCTCCCTTCTCAGCCCACCCCCCCCCCGGAAGGAAGAGCCTGGAGCCTGGCTCCTTCTTCCCTGGCTTCATCTGGGATAACTGGGCCGTAGGATGGGCCTAGAACTGGGGTGGGGGGGCGGGGAGCTGGGCTTGGGTCCTGGGTCTGCACTGAGTTGGAAGGACAGAGGAAGAGTTAAGGGTGCCAGATTCTAGGCTAGTCTTCCAGCCACCCCCGGTCTCACCAAATAAACTCCAGCCAGGGGAGGGGTGAGCTAGGGACTTTGGGGAGTGGCCCCCAAAGGCAAGATAGCGAGGGAAGGTCCTGTCTTTCTGCTTTCCTAAGAAATCTGGACCCCCCTGCGAATCAGTCGTGCCCGCTCTCCTCCTGGCCGCTGCCCGGGCCAGCGTCAGCGGCACACAATGTCCCTGTTTGTGTGTCTTTGTGTGTGTTGGGGGTGGGGGGGGTGTCCTGGTGTCTTCTTCCTCTGGGTAAGTTCCCGCGCCAGCGCCGCCCCGCAGCCCCGCGGGCCTCCCCGCGGCGGGCTCACCTGAAGAAGGCCGGTCCGAGTAGCGCGTGCAGTAGACCCAGGCCGGCCAAAGCATGGGCTGCGCGCCCAGGTTAGCGCTGGCCTGCGAGCTGTCCGAGTCCGAGCTCACCGATAGGTCGCCGCCGCCCAAGGCGCGGGCCTTGAGCGCCCCGTCCAGGGGGCCCCCGGCGTCGCCGCCTTTCTTGGCGCCGCCGTGCAGCGAGAGCGCCTTGGAGCCGCCTTCCCCGTCGCCCGGAGAGTCGCCGCCGCCGCCGCCGCCGCCGGGCAGCGGCCCGCCGGCACCGGGCGCACTGGGCACGTTCGGCCGGGCCTCTCGACCCGACCCCAGGAGCTGTTCGGCGCCGCCCGCGCCGCCGCCTCCTTCCGCGCCGCCCGCGCCGCCTTCGCCGCCGGCTCCACCGCCTCTCCCTCCTCCCGCGCCGGCACAGCAAGTCCCCGTGTCCTTTCTCCGGCCGAACTCGGGCCGCAGGATGTTGTCGATGAAGAAGTTGGTGATGCGGTGCGGGTGCTGGTGGTTGCCTGGCGCCTGCAGGACCGCGGGCAGCATCAGAGCCCGCCGGCGGCCAGTGTCCGCGTCGCCCGGGCTGCTGCCGCCGCCCGAGCCGCCACTGGGGCTGGATTCCGGCTGTCGCTGCCCCTCCACCGCCGCCGCTTCGCTGGGCTTGGGGTCATTCTCCTCCATGCTGTTCACAACAAATCCCAAATTGGTTCTCCGGGGACCACCCCCCCCCCTCCAGTCAGCCCTCCGCCCGCCCGTGGTCCGCACAGAGACACTCGCGGCCGGCTCGCGCTCCTACCCCGCCGAGTCTTCCGAGGGCGTGCACGGCGGCCGAGGCCAGGGCTGGGGTCCTACAAGTCACCGGCCGCGTTTGGAGCGGAGCCACGTTCCAATCCACGAGTTGAATTAGAAAATACCAAGAGTCTCCCCGCGCTCAGACGCCGGGAGATTCAAAAGAGTCGGGTCCTCGTCTTTGCCGCGCACCCGGGCGCTAGACAGTCACAATGGTCCGGCGGGGACCCGGGGCTCCTCCCGGGCTCCGCGCTCCTCTCCGCGTCCCGCTGCCTTCGGCTCCGGCGCTGCCGCTGCCGCTGCCGCTGCCGCCGCGGCCGCCCGGGGCTAGAGCTGCGCGCATGCAGGCAGCACGCTCCCCCGCGCTCACGCCCGCCCGGGCC